GCTGTCCCTCGCCGCCGCCGCCGCGCCCGCGCGCGCCGGCGCCCCGGGCGTCTCCTTCGAGCTCTACGCCGACATCACCTTCGCCGCGATCACCGTCGCGCACGAGCCGGACGACACCGACGACACCCTCTACATCCTGCGCCGATCCGGCCACATCCTCTCCGGCCCGCGCACAGACCCCGCCTCGTTCACCCAGTTCATGCGCATCCCCAACGTCAGCCTCAGCTTCGAGGGCGGCGCGCTCGGCATCGCCTTCCACCCCGACTACCAGAACAACCGCAAGTTCTACGTCCTGTTCACCCAGCCCAACGTCGGCATGCCCCAGCGCTCCATCCTCGCCGAGTACACCGCGACCCCCGACGGCTCCGCCGGCGACATCGCCTCCGAGCGCCGCCTCCTCACCATCCCGCAGGACGCCGGCATCCACCAGGCCGGCTGGATCGGCTTCGGCCCCGACGGCTACCTCTACGTCGCCGTCGGCGACGACGACAACCAGGCCAACGGCCAGAGCCTCGCCACACTCAAGGGCAAGGTCCTCCGCCTCGACGTCGACGCCGACGATTTCCCCGAAGACCCCGACCGCAACTACGCCATCCCCGCCGACAACCCCTTCGTCGGAACCCCGGGCGCGATGGGCGAGATCTGGGTCTACGGCGTCCGAAACCCCTACCGCTGCGCCTTCGACCGAGACACCGGCGACCTCTACATCACCGACGTCGGACGCAGCGACCGCGAGGAGATCACCGTCATCCCCGCCAGCTCCACCGGCGGCGAGAACCTCGGCTGGGCCTGCCGCGAGGGCACCGACTGCCGCACACCCGCCTGCTGCAGCGACCCCGGCTTCACCGACCCGACCTTCGAATACCCCCACGCCAACGGCTGCGCCGTCATCGGCGGATACGTCTACCGCGGGTGCGCCATGCCCGGCCTCCGCGGCACCTACTTCTTCGCAGACTTCTGCCGCAACACCATCAACTCCTGGAAGTGGGACGGCACCACCGGCGTCACCGACCTCGAGTTCCCCAGCGACACCCTCGTCGGCATCAACGCCCCCGTCGGCTTCGGCGAGGACGCGATGGGCGAGATCTACGTCTGCGCCTTCGACGGCAAGATCTACAAGCTCGTCCCCACGAACCCCGTCGACGACAACAACAACGGCGTCGTCGATTCCTGCGAGACCTCCGCATGCCCGGGCGACTGCGACGCGAGCGGCGCCGTCGACTTCAACGATCTCGTCACCATGCTCTTCGACTTCGGCACCCCCGGCTCCTCACCCGCCTGCGACGCCGACGACTCCGGCACCGTCGACTTCAACGACCTCGTGACAGCCCTCTTCCTCTTCGGGCCCTGCCTGTAGCACCCGCTCGCGACCAACCCCGACCGTCAGGGAGGGGCTGCCCAGTGCGCCGGCTCCCTCATGAGGTTCTCGCTTCTTCGCTGCTGACCGCATCCCACGCGTGAACCCCTCGACATCCCCCGGATCCGCCCCCCCCCTCCCTGCGTACACTCCTGAGAGATCCGCCCACCCCGAATCCGGAGGAACACCCATGCCCCGCGCCGCCCGCGCCCTGTCCGTCTCCCTCGCCCTCGCCGCGCCCGCCCTCGCCGGCGTCGCCGACATCCAGCTCGAGGTCTACACCAACGTCCCCGGCTCCGCGATCGTCGTCGCCCACGAGCCGAACGACACCGACGACACCATCTACATCCTGAACCGAACCGGCACCATCTTCGCCGGCCCGCGCAGCAACCCCGGCGCGCTCGGCACCTTCATGTCCATCCCGGGCGTCGACACCTTCTTCGAGGGCGGCGCCCTCGGACTCGCCTTCCACCCCGACTTCCAGAACAACCAGCTCTTCTACGTCTACTACACCGAAGACTCCAGCTCCCTCCGCACCGTCGTCGCCGAGTACACCACCAAGCAGGGCGGCCTCGAGGGCGACTTCTCCTCAGAGCGCCGCCTCCTCACCGTCGAGCAGAACGCCGGCAACCACAACGGCGGCTGGATCGGCTTCGGGCCCGACGGCATGCTCTACATCGCGCTGGGCGACGACGCCAACTCCTCCAACGGCCAGAACAACAACACCCTCAAGGGCAAGGTCCTCCGCATCGACGTCGACTCCGGAGACGACTTCCCCGCCGACCCCACGCGCAACTACGCCATCCCCGCCGACAACCCCTTCGTCGGCGACGCCTCCGTCATGGACGAGATCTACGTCACCGGCCTCCGCAACCCCTACCGCTGCAGCTTCGACCGCCAGACCGGCGACCTCTACATCGCCGATGTCGGCGCCGGATCCTTCGAGGAAGTCTCCGTCATCCCCGCCGCGTCCGGCGGCGGCCAGAACCTCGGCTGGTCCTGCCGCGAGGGCGCCAACTGCCGCACCGCCTCCTGCTGCAACAACCCCGGCCTCACCGACCCCGTCTTCGACTACTCCCACAGCTTCGGCTGCTCCATCACCGGCGGCCACGTCTACCGCGGCTGCGCCATCCCCGATCTCGACGGCCGCTACTTCTTCGCCGACCTCTGCCGCAACACCATCAACTCCTTCGTCTGGGACGGCGCCGCCGGCGTCACCGGCCTCGAGTTCCCCAGCAACACCCTCACCGGCGTGAGCTCACCCGTCGGCTTCGGCGAGGACACCTTCGGCGAGATCTACATCTGCACCCTCGGCGGCACCGTCTTCAAAATCGTCCCCACCACCACGCCCCCCGACGACAACGGCAACGGCGTCCCCGACACCTGCGAGTCCTCCGTCTGCCTCGGCGACTGCGACAGCTCCGGCGAAGTCGACTTCAACGACCTCGTCACCATGCTCTTCCAGTTCGGCTCCTCCGACGAAGGCGCCTGCAACGCCGACCAGACCGGCCGCATCGACTTCAACGACCTCGTCACCGCCCTCTTCCTCTTCGGGCCGTGCCCGTAACAACCGCGGCTTAGCACCTGCGAGCGGACTCTTCACGACCAACCCCGACCGTGAGGGAGGGGCTGCCCTATGCCCACGCACCCCCACGGCAGCCCCTCCCTGACGGTCGGGGTTGGTACCTCCCCTGCCACTCTGACACCCCCCGCACCCCAACACCCCCTTCCCGGCACCCCAATCCCCCCCTGAACCGCCAAAAACCACGGTTCTTACCCCAAAACCCACCCGCACGACCGGCGCGCCCGTTGCCGTACGAAACCCACGATGGTCAACGTGCGCCAGCACAACCCGAGCAACGGAGCCCAAGGCGGGGGGGCCGGGGGCTCCGGGGGGAGGCTCAACCTCCTCCTCTCCTGCGAGCCCCCCGCGCGCCCGTCCGACGACTGGGCCGCCCAGCTCCCCACCCTGCTCACCCCCATGGGCGTCCGCGCCGTCATCGCGCGATCCGGGGCCGAGGCCACCCAGGTCATCCGCTCCACCCCCATCCACCTCGCCATCGTCGACCTCTCCATCCCCCTGGACTGCCAGCAGGTGTCCGCTGACGGGACCACGGCCAACACCTCCGGGGGTTCCGGGGGCGAAGGCGGCCGACGCGTCCTCGACCTCCTCGCCCGCCTCGAGTCCCCGCCCCCGACGCTCATCGTCAAGGCCAGGCGCACGAAGCGCGAAGACACCCGCGCCCTCCACGCCGCGCTCACCGCCGGCGCCTTCGCCGTCCTCGACCGCCCCGTCAACATCGAAACCGTCCTGAGAACCATGTCCCGCGCCCTCGCGCGCCACTACGCCAACCGCTGGCCGGATACGAAAGAGTGAATCGTGCCCGAGGCACTAGGCACTTGGCACTAGGCACTCGGGAAGACAAGACAAGCTGTAGCAACCGCGACCGTGAGGGAGCGGACCACGCCACCAACAACCAACCAACTCCCGCAACCACAACAACCCGTAGCAACCGCGACCGTAAGGGAGCGGACGCCCCCGACAACCAACCAACACACCCACCCAAAGCACACCATCAGGAGAGCACCAACAATGGCCACCACCAAAACCGCCCCCACCGTCAAAGTCCGCCCCCTCGGAGACAAGGTCCTCGTCAAGCGCGACGACGCCGCCACCCAGACCGAGTCCGGCATCTACCTCCCCGAGTCCGCCAAGGACAAGCCCAAGACCGGCACCGTCCAGTCCGTCGGCGACGGCGCCCTCAACACCGAGACCGGCGACCGCATCCCCCTCACCGTCAAGAAGGGCGACAAGGTCATCTTCTCCTCCTACGCCGGCACCGAAGTCAAGCTCGGCCCCGACGAGCTCCTCATCATGTCCGAGTCCGACATCCTCGCCATCGTCGACTGATCAACGACCGCTCACTCGAAGACTACCGCGACCGTGAGGGAGCGGGCTGCCCCGACCGGAGCAAGCGTGGACATCACCACCGACCAACTCATCGAACAGCTCAACGCCATGCCCAAGGCCGGCATGATCGAAGTCGACATCGACGGCGACTGCCTCTTCATCGAGTCCGCCACAGGACACTACGAAGCGCTGAGCGAGCAGACCGTCAAATTCACCGGACGCTCCGGCTACGGCATGCTCACCTTCAGCCAGTCCACCACCATCGTCGACGTCGAAAAAATCAAGTACGTCCGCCACGCGTCGGAGGGAACACCATGACCACCGACGAACTCCGCCAAGCCCTCACCGAACTCAACGGCGAACGCAACGCCGTCTTCCACTTCCACTCCGCCGACGACTGCACCGTCAACAACGCCATCCTCATCCCCTGCGAAAAAGACGGACTCGTCAAAGTCAGCGACGGCCAGCACGTTTACATCATCGACGCCCCCAGAATCGCTTGGATCCGCATCGGCTAAACCAGCCCGAGGCACTAGGCACTTGGCACTAGGCACTCGGGAAGACAAGCAAGCCATGGCAACCCCGAACGCGAGTGAGGGGGTCACAAACCAACCCCTCGCGAAGCGAGGCTCATCACAACCCAGTGCCTAGTGCCCAGTGCCTAGTGCCTCAAACCGAAAACCAACACAGCGCCCGCCCATCCCGGCGACGGGCGCACGAACGGAGACAACCATGCCAGCAAAACAAATCGCCTTCGACACCGACGCCCGCGAGAAGATGCTCGACGGCATCCGCAAGCTCGCCCGCGCCGTCAAAGTCACCCTCGGACCCTCCGGACGCGTCGTCGTCCTCGAAAAATCCTTCGGCGCCCCCACCGTCACCAAGGACGGCGTCACCGT